TTCTATCTGTGAGTTAGCCATACCCTGACTTAGATCAGCCCAGAGGTTGTTTCAGGGTTCTATCTGTGAGTTAGCCATACCCTGACTTAGATCAGGCCACAGGTTGTTTCAGGGTTTGATAAAATGGATGTTTTTGTTGTGGTTGTTTTACATAATCTGTCCATTATTTTTCCAGACATTACTGAATGCCAGTGGTAACTACATTGCCACATTAATATCAGCATACCTGGTTATGATCATCATGGGTGTCATTGCTTTCAACTCAGCTGGTGGAAGCTGTTTTAATATCTACAGGTTAATTATGACCAAAAAATCACATGTCAACAATAAATAAGAGCTTTTAGGTCGTGAAATACTGATTAATAGACCTCTTCACCTTCATATGCAAATTGCCCATTTCAGACCACATGACATTCCCGCAATATGCCGTAAGGTCCGATAAGGACCAAGAGAGTTATTCTTTTATGACAAACATGTGAAAATATTTACACATAAAAGAATCAATTTCCAAGAGTGGCGTCACATGGTCTGAAATGTGCACAACAAACAAGAAAGCTAAAAAGGTCTATTGTCCGTTTTTTTCATTCAGTAAATACCACTGTGTTTTATGACAAAAGACTTATCTGAACAGGTTTAGCCTCGCTTAAGAGCAAATCATTTGCAATAGGCCTCAAGCATGATGACATTTACAAGGCCATTTGAAATCCCACAGACTTTTAAATGGTATCTGTGAATAGCTGACTTATAAACAAGGCTAAGCCTGTGCAAATGTGTCTGTAGTCATCAACAACAGTGGTATAAATTGATGCAAAACTGGTGCATTCCAGGTCCAATAAAGGAAATGTGTAACAAATTCAACAAGGATATTAGCTGAACTGGTTTTTGGACCTGTTTTTCATGGTGTCGCACTTAAAAACTTCATAATTACTTTACATATAAATATTTATGAATCTATTTTTGTTTGTTTCATTGTTTTCCCATTTTTCATCTTTAATCTGTGTACAGTATTGCTTACTCTTTGTTCATTTGTGCACACATACAGTGAGTAGACACCGACAGAGATAATAGTGACCTGTAGATTGGACGAATAGTAGGAGAATGAGTACCAGTTTTAAAGTTGGTCCTGTGTACAGTTAACACTGAATCATATTCAATTTCCAATTTTTTAAAGCTAAACTTTCAATCATGACATGACTACGAAATGATGGTGCCAATCTTTAAGAGTTTTTAAAAACTTTTACTCGTTCTTGCCCTTGTCACTAAATCTAAAGGTCTGTAATATGCTCTGTAGGCTTTACAACAAAGCGAATGATCATTTATTTAATAAGTTACCCTATCATTAAGCCAGAATCGGTCTTAAAGTCAAAGCTCCCTTGGCGTATCATGACCCTTGCACCTTACCCTAGTGTTTTGGGAAACCCTGTCCCCTCCTTTGATTATCCTTTAACGTCTCCTCAAAGAACATTTGCTTATTCCCTTGATCTCTCTCAAGTCCTAATAAAGGCTTTGCACCGTCATGTGATGGCAACCATAACAGGAGGCAGAAACAATATATTGTATCCCCCCCTGGGAAACTGAACCTTTTTCATGTCAACCAGATTATGACAGATTCAACTGTTCCTGCCTCCTGTCATGGCTGCCATCACGTGATGGTGCAAAGCTTCTATAGACCCCTTGCAGTACGTTGGAATGCAACTCAATTTGGAAGACAAAATGATTGGTGGTTTTCAACTATTCCCAAGAGGATCAAAAGACAAAGACATGGCAGTCATGAAGAAAAGGTTTGTTAAAGTCCACTAGATTACGAAACCTGAAAACGAAAAAGAGGTTTCAAATTCTCATGAGAGTGAAATTTGTTTGTGTTTTCCTCCAAATTGAGCTGCTGTGACATCACATGCAAGGGGGACGTTTCCAGTACAAGAATAGTGTAGTCATTAAAGCATAAAGATTTTTAATTATCAAACAAATAGTTGTTGATTTTAGTAAATACAACAGATAATAAATGTAAACCAAACTTAAATCTCTAGCAGTAATTTAATATAGGAAAAATATAATTTCTGGGGACAAATAATTTACAAAAAAAATCGAGAAGCAACTGACAATTTATACCAATCTATATGTCGTCTAGTCTAGCTCCTAACTCTACCAACCTATTTGCCAAGTTTAATTTGGTAATGCCAATCTGATTCTGAATTTCTAATGCCATAAGTTGTGCAAGAGTTTTCAAGTTTTGTGCCCTTATTTTTTAATTCATTCCCTTATTTTTTTTTTCCATTTGTTTATTTTTTGTCCTTAATTAATTGCATGTAACTTGCCAAATACAGACACAAAAAGTATCAAAAACCACAAAGCCTTCACATGAAATAAGAAAGAAAAGATACAAAATAAAAAAATACATGAGATGACCTCAGCCAAACCTGTGCCATGTTGCAAAATGACCCACAACTTCAAGAAAGGTCCATTATTACGTCGTTGCCTCTGACACATCCACTATTATGACCATCGAGTCCCCTTTAGCATAGCTTTTGCTCATCAGCTTGTCATGTTTAACAAATGTTGAAAGACCTGGTATACTCTTATTGGTATCCGAAGTAGGCCTTTGGAAACATTGCAGGAAGCTATCCAACAGATTCTTGCTATGTATCGTGTCCTTGATATTCTTTCGGTTTTTTATATTTATTTTCTGGTCCACCAGAGTAAATGTTATGTCCTTACCAAAAGGCCAGGGTAATGTATCATCATATTCACCTCGTTTAATTTGAGCATATATTGACATGTGCCCTGCATTTTCATTCTTAGCTCCATTGGGGTACAACATTGCTCTCAATTTGTAGCCATGGTTAGCTGTGTAAAATGGTTCACTGAACAACACAGTAGATCTCCCTTGCTTGGCCTCCGACAATAATTTCTTAACGTTTCCTATTTTCCACACAAAGGTGCCTGTGTATGGAATAGATGGCTCCTCTTTTTTCTTTTCTTCTTTTTTGACCGTTTTTTTATTTGGTTTCTTTATTTCATCTTGGTGTAAAAGTCGGTGAGACATCGCCGCATTTTCGTTCTGGACATCAGAGAGTCGTCCAGACAGGAATGCATTCCGGTCTTCAACCGAAGAGAGTCGGCTAAACAGTCGGTCAAACTTGGACATGCTTTCTTCTTGGAGCAAAAACAGTCGGTGAAACATTGACTCATTTTCGTCTTGAAGCGAGGATACTCTGTTAGACAAAACACCATTATTTTCTTGGAGTAACTTCAGCTCTTCACATGCTAAAGCAAGGTGATCTTTCGTGGCTTTTTCCATATGTTCTTCCATCCTGTTTTCTTTCCTTTGCATCTTAAAAACAATGCTACACTTTAGTAGTTGGTTAGGAAGAACTGAATAGCCCACTTCCGAGATATTCTTCACGATTCAGTGTGAGCCTTTGTGCACAATGCTCAGTGATTCGTGACAGGAGAGAAAAAAAGGATTTTAAAAAATCAATTTAAGACGTAGCCTCACATTGTAACCTTTGAAGCATATCTCGAAAGTGGGCCATTCCTTTGGGGCAAATCATAGTAGTCCGACATAGATAACCTCCCCCTCCCCCTCCCCTCTGTTTAAGCTTTTCAAGTCTTACCAAGAATTGACATCCAAATTGCTGATAGATACAAGGCACTTCAGTCAGCGGACATTCATTGGTGACGTGATCTGCTATCTGGTAGAAAAAGCATTCAAATATCAGTTAATTTTTTCTCAACTCCTTGAGATTGGACATGATGAGTTCATACATAAACTCGGTATTTTACCTCTACTATGGAGCCATTGTTTTATATGGTCCGCACCCAAACAAATAGATCGATCCCGCAGCCACTATGCTTGAGGGTCCTCCCAAACAATTGGTGATATTCCCAATGGAATACAGAATGTCCAACCAACAAACTCACATTCATAAGAATTTTTAGCAGTTATCGATTTTTTTTCCCTCAATGTATCTTTAGAATGCATTGATTCTATTTCAAGACAGACAGTTACAATTTTCAGCAATCCGTGTCTGTTCCATGCTGTATACAGTCCTTTGACTATTAAAACGTTGTCGTTTGATCGGCTTCATCCCTACGCGCCTAGACCGAAAAGGATCATGGGGATAATTAATTCACAGTTACTAGCTGCCGCATATGTTATCTAACACGTCTTGAGCTCGCTTTTTTCAGTCCCATTTAATTTGCTGAAACCATACCTCCAGCATACGGCGAAGATTTAAACTGGCAAGCAGTTTGGATTACCCAAGTTCTGTGTAATTTACCCGTTATCCTTTTCGGTCTAGGCGCGTAGGGATGGTCCAATCAACGACAACGTTTAGTCAAAAGACTGTATCAAAAACGTAGCAACAGTAACTAGGGAGGTAGAACAATGAATGTGGGATCTGTATTCAGAAAAGATCTAAAGTTGAACTGATTACCTCTTCATTTATGGTTTCTACGCCACATTCATTAGGACACCTAACTGGAGTCTTTGGACAAACTTTTATGTGATCCTACAAAAAGAAACGCCAACTTTTAACCAAATTCAATAATACTTTAATACTTATTTAATACTTATTTGGGCATTTTTACATTATGAATATGATCAAAAGCACATTACATCTCTGTGTATTAGATTAAACATATATTACATGTAAATATATGTTATAATATAAAACTATAACTGGAGATAAATAATCAAACAAATAATATTATTAATACTAATGAATATAAAATACGATAATTCTGCTTTTCAATTTTCACTAGTGTAATAATAAGCCCCACTTACGCTTCCAATCCTCATTCAGGGGCAGATCCGGGATTTTGTTCAGGGAGGGGTGCACCACTTAGAATCAAAGGGGAAAAACAGTATTGGTTATCTTCGAAGTTGGGGCACAAAGTCAAACCAGGGAGGGGTGTGCACCCCCTGCACCCCTCCCCTGGATCCGCCCCTGTCATTCCAAACCTAGTGTGAACCATTCCTTTTTGTGCCATCTTGAAAGGTAGCTGTGCCTTTGCATCGAATCAAGATGAACGGTGAGCTTGCAATTATAGAGACCTTTTTTAAACACCTTTTGGACAATTATTTACAGGTCTCTATCATTGCAAGCTCGCCATTCGTCTTGCTTTGCTGCATAGGCATGGCTACGTTTCAAGATGGTGCAGGGAACTGTGAAGGGGACTCTAATAACTGAAAATCCTTGCAAACAGAAAAGTGAGACGACTTTACCCCACCCACTGCTGCCACCATTAACCACAGCTAACCCACCTGCAGTTTGAAAGCATGATGATCATCATTGCAGTGAGGACAGGATACTTGTCTCCATTCACACTCCTGTTCAAGGTGTTTGGTCATCTCCATCCGAGGTTTCATGACGTCACATTCTGCATTGGTACATTCCACAGTCACTTGTTCACAAATCTTTTCATGGGCCTTGATTGTTATTTGTAAAGATAAAAAAGGTTTTATACACCTTTTTCCATACATTGGTTCACTGATCAAACACATGCAAAGCAACGTCAGTAGTCGAGGCTACAAGATTCAAATTCAAATAATCCTTTGAAACTACCTTGAAGCATTGCTTCAGTGAGTTTGTTTTTCGACCAGTGGACCGGTGTATGGCAAAAGGTGAATTATATGTTATCAGAGCAAACATCATTTACAAGTCCTAGTCTAAACACATACAACACCAGCAGATCGAGCTGGGCGGGCTAGGGGCTGTAGATAATTTTAATTATTTGTTTGTTATTTAAAATATCAATAGCCAATGCAATAAATATGAAGTAATGCCCCTTGAAACACTAGTAATCACACTTCCAAGTGTTTAAACCTTTTTGGTGGAGGTGTCCCCCAACCATCGCTAGGGGTTGTTCAATGGTTCAAACGAACACCCCCTCTCCACCTTTGTGGGGGTTTAGCCCTATTTTAGTTTTTCAAGAAATGGCATAACTAAGACTGGTAGAAAAACGAACCTCCCCTTTCAAAGTCCTAAGGTAGCAACTGGCATAAAATGTCTTGACAAATTTAAAGAGTTAAAGACAGTTCCTTTTTTCAGTACCTTTAACTGACAGAACCCAGTCATCTGATCGCAGTGTGGGCAGGGAATTTCTCTCCATTCACACTCCTGCAAGAGGTGCTTAGCCATGTCCTCGCGTGGCATCATGACTTTACATTTTTCATTTTTGCATTCGATGATTTTGTGGTTACAAAGTTTCAAGTGGGACTAAATAAAAAAATAGAATGAAAATGAAAAAAGGAAGGAAGGAAGG